GACATCATCAAAATGGTCAGGCCATCCATGATCTGTAACTGCACAGCGGCCAACTTTTCAAAAAAACAAAAACGACAATAAACAAAACAAAACAACCAGACTCAAGCCACACGCAGGCCAAGACAGAGGGTATCGGTCAAGTGCGCCCCCCCCCCCCTCCAAAAAACAATAACCCCAAAACAAAACCCTTTTCACACATTATATTTCGGTCTTCAATAATTCAAGCTACTCAGGGTAGTAAACCTGCAGCAAAAGATTTCTCCAATGGACTTTTATAGACTTCGTCCTCACCGTTATGAGCAACTCGGGTCTTGCAAGTTCATATGGTTGCTTTTAAGCACAAGGGGGCTATCCCGAAAAATGTTGTTGTGAGAAAATCGAAGTAACGTTTTTGGACCCTTGTTCAATTTCTTTAAAAGACAAGGAGAGTTTTCTCTTTAACCAAACAAATAATATACACACCAATGAAACCAAACTTCTCCTATAGGCAGGGCAATGCCCACTTTAGGTGTAGGAAGCCCCCGATATCGGGGTTAGCCCGCGTGTCCTTAAAAGCGACCAAATTTTTCTTCTCTCTCGGCAAGTCCGTGAGAAGCTTTAGTTTTAGTAAGGGTTTTACGGTACTTGCAATACAATAAGGTCATATAAGTGCCGAAGAATCGATGTGTTTCAAGAGAAAGTAACATACACAAAAAAGGAAGGAAGATAAGGACGATAGATGTTTGATAGGAAAGAAGTAGGAGCAAACCACACTTGAGCAACCGCCAACCACCCACCCGTGAGAAGAATAACTAGAAAACAGAATAATGTAATAACATAGATTTTCCGACACCAAACTAATTACGCGCCCAGACCCCCAAAACACGTTCAAATACGTGGGTTTTTTAAAAATTGTTTTTGTGGGGTTTTGGGGTCTTTTTTACATACAGAATGACACCCCCCCCCCCCAAAAAAAAAAAAAAAAACAACAACAAACAAACAGGCAGAGCTACAGACTGAAGTTGTCTTACGGCCATTCTCAAGGGGGGGGGGGCATGTTCTCATGCACAGTAGAATTGTAAATGGGCTGATTTATCAATGGATAGGCTAGGCTTATACTGTGCCGAAACAACATAGGGGGTGCTACTGTTTTTTTTCTTTCCTCATCCTTACTATCGTCATTTTTCCTGTACTTCTTTGTCACTCTCTTGTGACCCGCTATTTCCGGTGTGTCTTGATAGTGGAAGCAGACTTTTTTTTAATAGTGGAGGGCTTTACGGCGCTCGCAAACTGCACACGGTCAAATGAGCGCGCGGGACACACCTCATACTTTTAGTTGGTAGGAAATTTTGAATTTTGCCCGGGTGGCGGCCGAAGCCTACTCTTAACGATGAAGCAGACTGTGCTGTTGAGGCTGAGAGGTGAGCAGAGTAAGCCCGATTCCCTGTAACTATAAAGACTCCTCTGTTGACCTCCACACCTCGGCGCTCATAAGACCTTATTATGCAGTTGCGAGTGCCGTAAAACCTTGTTAAAAGTAAACTAAGTAGCGAGTGACAGCATTGAAGCTGTACCCGTCTCCCTGGCTCCGTCAGTCAATCCCGACATTTGTAGTCAGCCAGTCACGCGCGGTGTGAGAAAGACCACCAGATGTTACAATTCTTTCAAAGGGTCTATCTTATGAGATTATTCAGGCAGACGACTTCCAGTTAAGTTTTATAAGTTCTACAGCACTTTCAACACAGTTAGGTTATAATATAAGTGTCGACAATTAGAGGTGTTTTAGTTTTAGTAAGAGTTTTACGGCACTTTTAACACAATTAGATAATAATAAGTCGTCGCTTTAGAATTTTGTGTGTCCAAAGTCCCTCTTTACTTAAGTGGGGGGCCACTGGGGTGTGTCCTTGAGCAAGGCACGGCAACTATAGCTAAAAAAGAAAAATAAACCAACCCGGGGCGCTGCACAGTGGCGACCAGCAGCAATGGCATGGTTGTGAGATTGTTCTGTATTGGTATTGTGATTTTTTTTTTCATAGTAGAGGGTTTTACGGCGCTCGCAAATGCATAAGGTCATATGTTCTCCTTTAATTCTGACTCTTTCTACTGCTACTACAGGCCCCTCCTTACTGCTGTCTTCCAGCTTTGGTAAGAGTTTCATGGCACTTGCTGAAGGTTAGAAGTGCTACAAGAGAGTAACAAACAAAAACAAAAAAGAAGGAAGAAAGACAAGGAAGACAGAAGTTTTGCTTTGTTTGTTTTAGAAGAGGATTTACGGCGCTCGCAACAGCATAAGGTCATATGAGCGCCAAGGGGTGGATGTCAACAGAGAAGTCCTTACAGGGAATCAGGCTTACTCTACTCATCCCTCTAGCTTCAAAAGCACAAAGTCTGCTTCAACTATCAAAGCACCCTGGAAATAGCGGGTCACAAGAGTGTGACAAACATACAAAAGAAGTAGAGGGAAAATGACGATAGTCAGGACAAGGAAAGAAAAAGCAACAGTTTCCTGTGGCAGTTCAGGCACAGTTATGAGCATGACATTGATGAATCAGCCCATTTACAATTCTACTGTGCATAAGAACATATTGATTTTATTAATGTTCCCCCTTTAGGAATGGCTTAAAGACACTTCAGCCAGTACCATCGCCCTGGGGGGGTAATAGAAGTTTGATAGGGAAGAAGGGACAAACCACACGTTTAGTTTTAGTAACAGTTTTACGGCACTTGCAGCACAATAAGGTCATATAAGTGCCGAAGGTTAGAAGTGCTACAAGAGAGTAACAAAAACCCCAAAAAAAGAGAAGGAGGAGAGATCAGGACGATAAACGGTTGACAAGAAAGAAGGAGCAAACCACACCAAAGCCCAAAGCACCCGCCAACCACCTACAAACAGGATGTGACGGGAAGGAATCAGAAGCCACAAATAGGGACAGCCCTCAGAGAACCCCCCCCCCCCCCCCCCAAACCACACACACACACAACAAACTTTACTGACAGGGGAAGGATTAAAGGAAACACGCGTTGCACAGGGATGTCAGAGGGATCTTGGAAAAAAGCAAAGGAGTACTCACTCGTATAAGAAAAACAAACTCCTGTCAAATCGTGACTGTGCCACTTATACTAAACAAAACAGCAGCGCAATTAACTCGCAATTAACTGCATAAGGTCATATGAGCGCCAAGGGGTGGATGTCAACAGAGAAGTCCTTCAAATCATAATAATATAATGATGACCACATGACACGTAGAAAAAAAAAATACGATACGGGAAAAAAAAGAAAATAGAAAAGAAGATAAGCCATCTCTCCACCTATCCCGAGTAAATAAACAAATCCAGTCATGCTTGACAAACAAACATGTTTAAGTTGTTCTCATTTGGCTTAAGATATATCTATTGAAAATGTTTACATTTTTTTCTCCACATTGTCTGGCGCAATTTGCAGGGCTTTGAAAGGCCATTTATATGTAAAACTGCGAGTGAAGCAGTTGGAAGTTCATTTTGGCTAATAATTTACTGCGAAAGAAAAGCACATTACCAATGAAATACACAGAAGGAGAGCAAAGAAGTAGGAAACAGCACAGCAAGAACACCCTCAAACTATCTGAAGTAGAAGATGCAGATCACAACAAAGCAAAGCATAAGTTTTAGTTTTAGTAAGAGTTTCACGGCACTTGCAACACAATTAGGTCATATAAGTGCCGAAGAATAGATGTGTCACAAGCGAGTAACATACACAAAAAAAAAGGAGGAGAGATAAGGACGATAGATGTTTGATAGGAAAGAAGAAGCAAACCACACCTGAGCACCCACCAACCACCCACGCAAAGCATAAGCACCTGCCAAAGCCAGTCAGGAGGAACTGTGTACGGAGAGAAGGACAGGGGGTGGGGGGTTGGTGCAAACACAACAATATACAGTGGAGCCCCCTTAAATGGGACACAGTTAACCCGAACACAGCCGCAACGGTGGAAAGCCAAAATAAACGAAATCCATGATTTTTTGATTTTTAAAATTTTTTTTTGGGGGGGGGGCCTAATTGAGAAGTCTGTTAACTAAAAAAACCTGACTAAATCACAGAAAATACGGCAGTCGTGCAGATTTTGGAATATGCAGACTCTACTATAATCAGACTCACACAAAGGCTATACTGAAAAGAAGCAGATCAAGCAAACCATATCAGATCTGCATGCCCTCCTCCCTCTCCCATGACACCCCCCCCCCCCTTTCCAAAAAAAAAAGTAAACCACACCAGATGTGCATGACCTATCCACTCAACATTTAAAAAAAACCGGAAGTAATTTTTAAAAGCCAGAAACCGAAATCAATCATTTCACAAAGCACTGAATACCTGTGTTTCAAGGCACCCAGAGAGCACATTGTCACCTTCTAAAAAGACATGTTTCTTTGAGTAAAGAGAGAAGTGCAAGGGCAAAAATCCAGCATTGGGAAAAGGTAAGACAGATAGACAGAAAAGAGAGACGGAAAGAGAAGATGTAGGATCTACCCACTGGTGCCCTCCGACAAAAAGCACTGAACTCATACATACCAGGAACGGAGCAAGGACTAAGAATTTTTTTTGTTTTAGGATGAGAGATCTACAGCAAGTGCAACACAATCATATATATGGTCATGTAAATGCTGTAAGAACTGAAGTGTTATTAACCCTACCCGTACGTCCTGGGGTCATTTTGTACCCCCGGGAAAATTCTTCACATTCTAGAATACTTCTAGTTCCAAGATCTCTTTGAAACTTTCCGTATTTCTCAAAAAATCATTTTGACAGACTGCTACGCAAAGCGTACAGATCGGATTAATGACTTTGAAAGTGGGGGCACAGAGTTCCCCACATTGTATGGACACGATAGTAAAACATGACGTACTGATAGGGTTAAAGAGTAAAAAAAGACAAAAAGAGGAGGAGGAAAGAATGAGGATGAAACATGTTTTCTAGGAAAGAAGGAGCAAACCTCACGAGAACACGTAACAACCAACCACGGACAGAAAGCACACAAAAAACTCACCGCAATCATCCGCGATATCTTTGTGTCAAAGTCCGTAGAGTTATCTATCACGTCGTAGTAGGGGTGACCCACCCAGGACTGAAAAAAACAAAATGAAATACAAAAAAACATTACAAACCATCGAAGAAACCATGTACACATAAAAAAAAGACTACCGTATAAAACACATATATATATATATATATATACGAAATAATATAACAAACACATTCACATACGCAAGAAGAACATATAAAACAAACCATATTAAAGAAACCATGAAACAAATATTCCCCCCCCCCCCTTTCTAAACACACACACACAAAATTCTCTAACAAAAACAATCTGCCAGTAACACTACTAAAGGAACAAGAGGATAACAAACAAACAAAACAAATTCCATCGTAAAAAAAAGACCAGTAAAGCCCAACAAACAGAAGCAAGATATCAGTTTCAGTTTCATTCAACACTATGACTATCAGACAATGACAAAAACAAAGAAGAATATCCAGGAGCTTTGCACTTCCCAGTTCGAGATTAGAGCAACAACTCATAGTGTTTGGTGGAGATAAGAAGAAACATCTGTTCAGGCCACACAGTCATATGACCTCCTCTGAGCCAAAAAAAACTAATGTTGCACATCACAAAATATATCACGAGACTTTCCTTTCAAACCAAAAATGTGACAACACAAAACAAAAACCAATAAACAGTTTTTACTATGAGCATGTGGTTTACTCCAAGAAAGAAAATTTCTAAGACATACCCCTCCCCCCCTCCAAAAAACCCCCAAAAAACAACAACCAACAAACAATTAAACAAACTCATGCAAGTTAATTCTTCTGAACATAAATCAAAACACAGCTTTACTTAATGTTATCAACATAATAATACATAATATCGTAAGCTTCATTTCCATAAAAGAAACCCCCCGAAAATGTATCGGAAGGTGCCCCCTTGATGCCTTTATACCAAAAATTGATTTGGATGGTTGTGAAATAATAATGTTGTGACCATATAAATATACATTATTAAATAAGCAACAATTCTTACATCAGCTGTGATAGAATCCAAGCCACGTGCTCCTTCAAGATCTTCAGTTCGTGACTTGTGACCAGCAACAGTGTAGAAATCCTCCGCCCCACTAGCCGCAGACACCATGTGAATAACCTGGGAACAGTAACACAAGTTCTCACTTCAGTCAGTACAACGCTACCTCAGAATTATGAGATAAGTTCTGTCCATTGAGTACCTAGTTTTGAAAAATTCGACATAAAAAAAAAAATTAGTTTCACATCATGTCAAGATTTTTTCGAATGCAATTCTTTGCATATCTTTATAACGACTCTGAATAATCTCACAATTTTGATAGAGCAGATAGAACATTTGGTTTTAAATCTCATAGCCTTAGTAGCTCAAAATGGCAAAAAATGTCAGATAGAACTTTGTAATTCTGAGGTAGCGACAAAACAGACTGAATTTGAGTTGTTTGTTTTAGTAGAGGTTTTACAGAGCTAGCAACTGCATTCAGGTCATATGAGCACCAAGGGGTGGATGTCAACAGAGAAGTCTTTACAGGGAATCAGGCTTACTCTGCTCAACAGCACAACGTCTTCTTCTTTATCAAAGCACCCCCGAAATAGTGGGTCACAAGAGAGTGATAAATATGCAAAAGAAGTAGAGGAAAACTGATGATTGTAAGGATGAGGAAAGAAAAAGCAGCAGTTCCCTGTTGCAATTCTGGCACAGTTATGAGCATGACATAGATGAATCAGCTCATTTTCAATTTCACTGAATAACAGAACATGGTAATGTCCCCCCTTTTGGAATGTAGATTTGAGTTGGTGTTTTACAATGTAACAAAAGTTCACATTTCACTTCTAAGTTCGAAGCAGACTGGATTTGAGATGCATTTAGCAGAAAGTGTCAATTTTAAAATTCATTCGAACCAACTGCAGAGAGGTCACTGAATACTCTTTAGAGAGAGAGAGAGAGAGAGAGAGAGAGAGAGAGAAAGAGAGAGAGAGAGAGAAAGAGAGAGAGAGAGAGAGAAAGAGAGAGAGAGAGAGAGATTGAGAGAGAGAATGTTTTACGGAACGGGTTGTTTCAGCACATGAGACATGTATTTACTAATGGTCTGTCCCGTTGTGCGTATGTGTGGGGGCACACAACCTTTGTAACATCCATTGCCACTGTATATGACAAAGACAAATTTCCCCCTGTGAGATGAATAAAAATAAAAGTTGCCATCGACAGGCAGAACACCATAACACACCTGATTATATCTGTTATCTCTGAGGTCCACATCATTCCAGTTATTTCTCCCTTTCATTATCTCCCAATCTTCTTTCATCAGGTCTGGAACAAAGACAGGAAATGATGTTCACATTGAGAAAGTCAAGAGGAAACACTCTTTTGAGATTTTCAAAACACACAGCACCAATACAGATTTACTTTGGACTTTGGAAATTATTCACTGAGTAGTGCATATGAGCAAAGACTTGAGAAATGTTTTTTTAAAAGTAATCTATAGAAAAACATGTTACTATTTCAATAAAAATGAGTTACATTATCATTTTTTAAACTGATCGTTTAAAGCTGGATCGAACAGAGTTTCTAATTTTTCTTGTGAGAGCGATGCAAAGGTAAAACAAAAAAGAATTGAAATAAAAACCTCAGCACCCCCCCCCTACAAAAATTAGCACATGCACAATACTCACAAGCAGAGCCATCCATGGTGCCCCTGTCACAGATCAATAAAGTATTTCTGTTTCTCGACTCCGCAAGATTGTGATAGGTTTTTTCTATGACCATCATGGTTTTTATAATGTCTTCTTGAAGACGGAAAGCTGCAATTAGGAAATCAAAGAATAGAGAGATGAAAAGCTGTTCAGGCTCAGTTGTAAGGTTTACACACAAAAAAGTGAAGCCATTAAAATAACACTGTGATTGATATAATATAAATCTCATTCATATAAAGATGATGGTCGAAGAAAAGTGTGGTGTTGTATATTTACTACATCATCAAAACTGAAAAGATTTATATTTATGAAGTGGAACCCTCTTTTAATCTTCCATCTCCAACAGTGGTGCACTAAGAGGATAAAACTCCCAAGACACGTATTGGAAACTTGAACCCAGGTCATCCATGTGAACAGTCCAGCACATAACTGAACAAACAGGAGACTTGTCAAACAAGCACACTAAAAAAAAAAAAAAGCAACAAATTTAAGAACGACTTAGCACTAATGTTCTGACCATATATACACATTATATATACATATTCAAAATGGGGGGGGGGGGGGCGCAAAAGATGAGGACAAATGAAATTCTCGTGGCAGTAAAGACAGCTTTGTTAAGTAAGGCAAATTTTCCACATCTCACTGAACAATAATTTACAAGCAATAAAGTGTGTCACTCTGCAGTGGATTCAGGCACTCATCAATTTTTGAGCATATGGAGTTATAGGAAAAATTGGATAGCTAATTCCATCGTAAAAAAAAGACCAGTCTTGAATAGAAGTCAAGACATAAAGCGACTGACAGAGGTAGGGTTGCTTGGTTTCAGCGGCAAAATTAGAAAGAAAATGGCCGCCAAGGTTTGGTAACTTCAATAGCTTGAGAGTCCCTAAAAACTGAAAAATCACACATTTTGTGCTTTCAATCAAGGTTTTTTAAAAACAAAATTCACATAATTGTGTCTTTCTATGGACATAAAAGGTATTGAGTGAAAAAAAAAAAACTTCGATAAAAATTGCTAAACAGGTGGAAAAATGCCTGTTTCTAGAATTTCATTATTTTGAAGAGCGCCTAATTTCACCACGAAGCCTCACAAATACTTAAATACCTTCAGAGAAATTCAAAACCTACCTTCATCTCTGGATAAATCTGGAAAACGGACACCGCCACTGGGGAATGAAGATTTAAAGAATGTCTAAGAACTAGAAACAAGAAAAATGTTCATTGTCAGAAAAAAATGTATTTTCTCTCCTGATAACATTCTATAAGACCACAAAGCAAAAACAACAACTTTGAAAACAAAACCCAATTGAAATAACAGCTGTTCTCTCCCAATACAAAACACACTGCTTCAAATTCATAAAAACAGAATCTCCTTAAAGCAACGTTTGGTGACAGAAATATGTAAGTACATGAATTGTATCATTTAATAAGATACAGTATTAGCTTAAATAATAAGTAAAATAAAAAAATGATGTCTTCTACAAAAAATGCTTTTTTACAACTTGACCATATCTTCCAGGACTTGTTTGGCCGTTCTCATCCTGGAGACAGACAGCAAACCAGCCCCAAAAATGTTTAATGCTCAAACAGCACCTGACTCAATTATGATACCTAATCACCCCCCCCCCCCCCCCAAAAAAAATAAATTTTTTAAAAATTAATAAATAAAAAAAATTAATTAATTTAACATAAAAGGAAAGATTACTTTCGTTCCTCACCCTAAATATGTCATGGCAGCCTCTGGGGCCCTGTAGACCTGGAAATTCATAATATACAGAGACTGAGTTTTTACTTGTAGCAGCAGACACAGTTTTGGGAGAACAATAGTTTAGAATTTGAATAAGATCATAGGGGAAAAAAAGGCCACCATCTCTATACCACCACGTGTATGCAAGACTGAAGTGTGTGTGAGGAAGGAGAATACGGGGGTCGGGGGAGGGTGAGAGAGAGAGAGAGAGAGAGAGAGAGAGAGAGAGAGAGAGAGAGAGAGAGAGAGAGAGAGAGAGAGAGAGAGAGAGAGAGAGAGAGAGAGAGAGAGAGAGAGAGAGAGGGAGCGAGGGGGGTGGGGGGAGGGTGGAGATCAGAGAGAGAGAGAGAAAAAGAAAGAGTCAAATATGCCAATATATATTTGTTATTGATGACTTTATAACATATTATAATTATTTGCTCTAGGTAAGTTATCTGTCCAGAAAAGTACATTGAGCATTCTATGACGGCAAGTCTGATAATATTGTCAGTTTGTTAGTGTTTTAGTGCATGAATCTTATTAGCAGATTGCACTGTCTGCTTCGCAAGAAGCACAGAATGTTTTTGAGAGTTCTATGGTCTGCTGGGTTAATGTAAACACAATAGAGCACGGACTGCAATTATAATACCATTCTTAAAATACGATAAATACCATCAGTTACTAAAAATTAGAAATCTAAAATACCCAGCTGACTCAGATTTAAAAAAAAACAAAACCCAAAGGGTCCAACTAGCCATGAAAACAAAATCCTGAACACCCCCCCCCCCCTCCAGAAATGTGCGCATAGGGACTCGAAATCAATGGATCACATTGTCAAGGCTAGCATTAAATGGTTCTTGCTTGCAATATGAGCAAGGCTATTTTCACATTGAACAAGACAACCAGTAAGCCTACAAAGTCCAGATCATTTCAGAAATTCAGATTTATCCAGAAAATCAGCACTTCTTCTGAAAAAAGGGTGAACAGTGATGGAATCGTCCATCTTACTCACTTACCTTCCATCCTAAATTTTCAAAGAATGTGCTCAGCCTGATCTGGCCAGTTGTCTTTCCCCCACAGGGTCCTGCAATCAGACAAAAACATGATAGATTATGAATGTCTCACACGTTAAAAGTGGACATCATTGTACTAATTATAGGATTATAGGCTCAACAACTGATTTTTAAGAAAACTAGATTAAAATAGATCTAGAATACTAGATATCTAGAATCTAGATCTAGATCTATACTAAAAAAATAAATAGAGTCTAGAATAAATTAATCAAATACGAAGTCTAGATCTACTAGACTACAACAATCACTAGATCCAGATCTAGCTAGATCTATCTAGTATTAAGATTATAACTGATAAAAAAGCCTTTAGGTCACTAACGCTAAGGCACGGCACTTTAAGTTTTAGGTTAGGCCTAGGACTAGGTTCGATAGGATACAATGACAATGCACAGACAAAACAATGACAATGGCATGGAGCAATGTTCCACCTGGATTTTGATAAAAAAGGAAAGGGTTAAGTAAGGTACCCTAACCCTCTGCTGCTCGAATCTGAATCCAGAATGAGAGTGAACAAAAGAATATATTCCAAACTGGAAGATTACCTGACGAACAACATACAATGTTCCAAAACAATTCGGACGTAGAGAATCTAGATCTAGTCTAGAATCTAGATCTAGATATCTAGATCTAGATCTAGATTTAGATCTACATCTAGATTTCTAGCAGTAGATTTCATGATTCATAGAGGTTGTCAGTGTACTTAGTGCCAGCCAGAACTGTATCGCTAGGCTACACGAGTCTGCTACAAAAAATTTACTGCAAAAACAAATTAAATGATTATTTATTTCGATCCATTTCTAGATCTATTTGGCGTTATCAGATTATCACCATTGAATTGGAAGAGCCATGTTTTGTAATTGGTATTTTTACACGTGTGTTACTGTTGTACGGTACTGTTTAACGTTTTTGTGCTAGAAAATCTACGCTGCAAGCCTACTGCTACACTACACACTACATTACATTCACAACACAAAGTCATCGACATTGAATGATAATAAATGCTGATTATTTTGTACACGTACCTCCAGTGAGTACAACTTTGTAGAATTTGTACTTGCTTTCAGAACCATTCTGCGACATGTCGATGACTTTCAGTGGCTTTCTTATTTCCGATAAATTCCTCCGAATAACCTTACAAGCGACGACCCTGTGAGAACGCAAACACATGGAAACATTGCGGGCTAAAAGCACACACACTTCCATTCATAAGTATAGGTTTCATTAAAAAGACTAACCTCAAGTGCACTATAAACTGCATAGAACAAATAATTTACCCCCAAATATATATATATACATACACAAAAAATTATATATAAAATCCTCTGTCATTCATATAATAGTCTCACATATTTTATCATTTTATTTATCACAACAACGTTTTCGTTTTTAATTTGGTGGTGCGTTATTATTTGCTCACCATGTTTTTCTCCCGTTACTTTTTTACATTTACTGGCGGGAAGTTTTCATTGAGGTCACACACACACGCTCCTCCCCCTTCCCGTTGCTAAGGTTGCATCACCAGTAAACTTTTTCAGGTCCGTTCAAATAAGATGTGTCAATGTCAGTCACATAGATCTTTTTTGATAGGGTTAGAACACGCTATGGTCTGAAAGTTATTTTGGAAGAGCGTTCAGCCAAAAATGGGGCTCTCTTCGGGAGAAGTGGTCCCAGGCTAACTTCAGAGATTTTTTTGTCTTAGATTTACACGTATGGGGTTTCATGAAAAAAATATTAAAAACCATTAATTAGAACAGTGGCGAAAAGTCTATATAATCAAAATCACCGCTTCCCTTCCTAATTTTGAAACATTGCCGCAGTCAAATTCACCCATAGACGTAAACCTCATAAATTAAATGTAAAAAGACGCTCATAATAATCAATGAACAGCTCACATTCAAAACGGTTTCATTGCCACAGAAATAGCCTGTTCACCCCTAACGTGCCACCCCATAAGCAGTCGCAAGCTTTGATTAAGTAAGTTCACAGTGAGGCTGGAAGAGTCTAACAAAAGATTTGAAGGGAACATGTGTGCAGCAGTCAAAACGTTTTCATTGCCACATATACCCTGTTCACC